GGAAATAAGATAGTTTAAAGATTTAACGGCTAATCACCCATATTTCCATTTGCGCAAATATTCGGGCAATTCAAAATTATTTGGCTTACCATCTAGGTGCCCGATTATTTATGTTAATAAAAATGCATAATGAGAAATATAATGAAATGATATATGTGATATAATTATGAATAAATGAAAAATATAATGAAATGATATATTTGATATAACTTTTGAATATTTACATTAATTAAATATTCAAAAACAATAAAGAAAAAACATACCTAATGTTGTAGACCGCATGGTCGGATGGACTCCATAACCGTTGGGCCTAATCCATATTCTAGAAGGCCCATGTCCATATTCTAGATGATTCTCCTTATGACGGTCTATCTTATCTTAGTGGGCTTTTGGGCTTTAGGGTTTACTAGCCCAATGGGGATTTGTCTCCCCTCATCATGTATAAATATGTAACGAACTTCATTCATTAATAAGAATAAGAACAACAAGTTCTATAACACGTTATCAGCACGAGTTGCTCTTAACAAAAAAACCCTAAAACTAAAGTTGCCGAGTTCGCCCACCGCTTGAAGCTAACAACCGCCGACCGCTCGCTTTGCTCTTTGATCGGCGATCTCCTCCTAGCTTCATACGTTCGTGATAAGCTTGATAACCGAGGTCTTTAGCTCCCGGTTCTAATCCATACAACCCCAAAAGGTGAAAGGTAAAAACCAAAACCCTAAAAGCTAAAGAACCGATCATGAATTTGAATCTAACAAACGGTGGAAACCTAAAACGAATCTTAATTGTATAAACGATTGTTTTTGCTTGTGAAAAACCGATCATGAACTTGAAATTAACAAACGGCTAAGACACTAAAACGAATCTTGATTGTTTAAGTGATTGCCTTTGCTTGTGAAAACCGATCATGAACTTGAATCTAACGAACGGTGGAAACCTAAAACGAACCTTGAATGTTTAAAGTAATTCCTATCGCTTGTAAGATCCGATTATTTGATTCGTTTAGGTTGCTAGAAAAGTTGATTATCGTTTAAGCTAAAATTCGCCTAAGTTGCTAGTGAAGTTTTAATTATCTAAACCTATAATCGCAAATCCGCAAAAGTTTAAATCGGCTTGATTGAGATTGTTTAGGTTGTTAGATTGTTTGCTCCTTTGATTGATTACATGCTTAAAACCCTAAAACCTAAAATCCTAAATAAAATAGGAAACCCTAAATAAAAGGAAATCTTTAAAATCCTAATAGGAAAAGGGAAAAGTTAATCCTAAGTAAAAGAGGAAAGTTAATCCTAAAGAAAAAAGGAAAGTCAAATCCTTAAGTAAATCGATTCATGTTTGGTTTTTAATACCACATGACATTAACGATTACATGATTTTGACTCAATCTCTTTTTGCTTGTAGATGTCGAAAACAAAGAACCTCGAGTTTTCTGCACTCAACGTCTCCGGCGACAACTACTTACAATGGGCATTGGACATTAAGATAGCCCTTGAATCCAAAGATCTCGCCGAGTGCATTGTGGAAAACAACGAGTGTGAGAAGAGGTCGAAGTTTAAGGCGATTGCATTTATACGCCATCACATAGCAGAGAGCCTTAAGAATCAGTACCTTACTATCGAGGATCCCCTCGATCTTTGGATCGAGCTGAAAAAGCGATACGATCACCAAAAGACGGTACTCTTACCGAAAGCCCAATATGATTGGAAAAACCTCAGGATCCAGGATTTCAAATCCGTGGAGGAGTATAACTCCGAGCTTTTTAAGATTGTCTCAATCCTGAGGCTATGTGGTGAAAAGGTGACTGATGATACCTTGCTTGAGAAAACATACTCAACATTCCACCCTAATAACGTGGTACTTCAGCAACAATACCGTGGAATGAAATTCAAAACATATGCAAGTTTGATCTCCTGCTTACTCCTTGCTGAAAAGAATAATGAGCTATTACTAATGAATAGCTCAATGAGACCTCCAGGATCCACACCGTTGCCGGAAGCCCATAAGGCCGAAATAGCCAAAGAACCTCGAGAGACCAAAGAAACCAACTACGTCCATAGAGGGTATCACGGTCGTGGCCGTGGTAGAGGACGTGGTGGTGGTCGCAGCAACCATAACTCCTACGGCCGAGGAAACCACCATGGTGGTAGAGGCCGTGGGAACAATGGTCGAGGTCGTGGCCGCGGAATCTTCAAACCGCAACACAAGGCCAAATCCGTTTGCCATAGATGCGGAATGGACAATCATTGGGCTAAGACGTGCAGGACATCTAAACATCTAATCGATGCTTATCAAGAAATGATAAAGAAGAATCCCGAAGCCAATTTGGCTCATCTCGATGGTGATGGAGATTTCGACCATGAGAACGATGACCAATTGGAGTATGAGACTTCGGATTGCTTAAGAGAG